GAGCACTTTGGGAGGCCGAGGCAGGAGGATCACTTGAGGCCAGGAGTTCAAGACTAGCATGAGCAAAAGTGAGACCCTGTCTCTACAAAAAAATAGAAAAATTAGCTGGGCATGGTGGTCACTGTCTGTAGTCTCAGCTATTTGGGAGGCTGAGGCAGGAGGATCGCTCAAGCCCAGGAGCTTGAGGTTGCAGTGAGCTATGCACTTTAGCCCTAGGAGACAGAGCAAGATCCTGTCTCAAAAAAAAAAAAAAAGAATCAGAATTACCATCAATGTTTGCACATATGGTTCAACACAGCCAGTATTATGCTTTTGAATGGTTTGGAAAAATAGAGTTGTCGTTACTTACTTAAGTAATAAATCTATCATCAGTCACTATGTCTATATTTTCTTTCAGCCTACTTTACGAGAGTTTTGCCTCTGTCTCGGCACTCTCAGTTCCTTCTGTCTCACACAGAGAACTTAGATGTGGTTAGCTGCCTTTCTCATTAGATGGCACATTAAAAAAAATGACTCCAAATAGCCTATTGTGCACATTGAGGTACTTTTGCTCTTCAAACTCCATTAAGCTCTTATAAGCCTCAATTAAGTAAAAGAACAGATAATTAAGACAGTCTGTTTTCAATAGACTTAGAACCTTGCAAGGAAGACGACTCCAAGACCTCGTGCCTAACCATCCACCCCTTGTCCCATGTGTCAAGTCTCAGTATTTGGACTAGGCAGTAAATTCATTCTTATTTAAGTAAATCAAACTAGTCCTGCTGTGATTTTCCTTTAGGCCATGAGGCCTCTGGCAAGTTATTTATCCTGGAAACATCCTCTATAGCTAGAGAAAATCTAGAGCAGGCAGGAACATGGCTTACATTCATTAAGATTTAAACTGGATCAAAACTGTTGGAAGCGAAATAGGCAAGGGAAAATAATTCAAACCACTGATGACTTTAGATACTTCATTTAACTGAAATTCCAAACATTTATCTAATTTCATGCAAACGATTATCAATAATTTTATTAATAATAGAAAATACTGA